AAACTCCCAGATGAAGGTGATTTTCAGCAATACACATTGATCCTGCAAGAAAGCAGCTCAGAAGAAGGTTTTCCCATCACTCTATTAAATCACAGTATCAGCCTCCTGCAAGCTGTAGGATTTCAGTTCCGAACACGATCCACAATATATACACCACTGGAACTGAACCAACAGCTAAAGAAACCTATTAGTTCAGGTCTATAGGAATCAGACACTTCAGAGCAGCTGGGAAACACCATGAAGCCATCAATACCTTCCAAACCACAACTGGATGTCCTAAGGAGGGAGAAGAGTTTGTCCTCCAAAACTGGGGAGAGAAACACATCCTGCCCATGGCCCTTTCCCTGTAGGATCTTCTGCCTGAGCAGGGAATGAGCCTGTTTACAGACACTGCTTGAGCAAATCTGTTCATGGGAGAGTCTCAATTCCAAGTACCAGAGGGGAAAGCAAATGAACTGAAGCATAAAAGCAGTACAAGGTGATGGGAGGTTAACCTGGTAGAGCTCTTCAACTCACAACAAGTTTGCTTCACTTCCCAACCCATCCCATCCCATCCCAGCATCTTCACCCGAGTGCGACTCAAACCACTCAGGCCAACGGGAAGGTTTCAAAGAGGGCTGGAACCCTCTGGGTTCACACTGGCACTTCTCTAAAGCCATTTTTAGCAGGAGCATTTTGCAACTTCCCTCCCAGCAAACCAACACCCCCCCTCCAGTATTCCTGCTGGGCTGCAGTGCACTAAATAACTGAGTCCTCAGATCATCAAACTGCTCTGACGATGCTGATCCCATCTGATGAGAGCTGCTCTTCCTCCTAGACAAGGAGCTTTGTGCTCCCACAGCAACACAGGAGGGCTTCCCTACTAAACACACCCCCATGGATCCATCCACTGTGCTCCTGAGCTCAAAGCAAGGCGAGAAGATCCCTGGAGCTGACACAACATCGAGGGAGGATTTCCACAAAGCCTTTTTCTGTATTCAAGGCACCCTTTCCTGGTGACACCCCCACACGGGGAGCCCTGCCTGCAGCAGTTGGTTAGCGCTTGGGAGAGCCAAGCCGATGGCAAACACATCTGCTGTGTGAACAGGAACTGTCCTACTGGCTCACTGAGCTGAAATAGCACGCCTTTGAGTCAGCTTTATGTGCTCAGTGAACGGTGTCACCGCCTCGTCACCCTCAGCCACACTTCCGATCAACAGGCTTGAAAGCAGGAGTTCCAGGGATGTCTTTACACAGTAACAACAACCCAGCTCCCATCCACACTGAGCTAAGGCAGAGATTCAAAGATCTGTTCACATCATAGAAACCCAGCCTGGTTTGGGAGCTTAAAGCTCCTCCTGTTCCAACCCTTGCCATAGGCAGGGATACCTTCCACTAGAGCACGGTGCTCCAAGCCCTATCCAACTTGGCTTTGAGCACTGCCAGGGATGGGGCAGCCATTCAACCCATCCCATCACTCTCATAGTGAAGAACTTGAGAGCTCATCTCAATCTCCCTTCTATCAGGTTAAAGCCATTCCCCCTTGTCCTACCCCTCCATCCCTTGTCCAAAGCCCATCTCCAGCTTTCCTGTAGCCCCTTTAGGCACTGGGAGCCGCTCTAAGGTCTCCCTGAAGCCTTCTCCAGCAGAACCAGCCCAGCTCTTCACTGCCTGAGTCACTGCACACCCATTCAGTGCCACTTTCCACGCTGTTTCATTCCATGTACCCCCATGTCTCACCCATGCTGGTACCGGGCATCTCCAGCATCTCCTCTGTGGGGCTGAGCTGAGAGCTCTGCTGTAGGTGTTTCACCAAGGACAGCTGCTGGGCTGGAACCAAGCTGGCTCGCTCAGGTTTAGAAGTGATGCAATCAGCTCCTGTTGTGTTTCCATTCCTGCTCTTAACACCTGGAACCAGGTGAGACACTTGAGGCTCCTCACCAGCACTGAGCACAGCCTCACCTTGCCTATGGTCACGTCCAAAACCACCTGCGGAGCTGCTTCCTTAACCCTAACAGCCTTCTGTGATGCTCACAATATAGGAGCAGAAATAACAGAATGAGTCCTCCCCAATTCCTGCCACCGGGATTTGCAGCCTGCTCTGTCCCACTTTGTCCTGGATGCCCTAAGGAAACCATTCATGGAAAGCTTGCTTTGCACACGTTAAGACAATGCTGAGTTTTCCATGGAATCCTATAACAGTTTGGGATGCTTTGCAACAGCACAGAGCTTCGTTAGCAGAGGAACCATAGCCCGGAGACCCTCCTGGCTTCAGCTGGGCTCTCCTGGCAGCTACCAAGGGTGAATCAGAGGCCTCTTGACAAACCTGAAGGTGGGTGGTGAGGCCACCTGCTTCCCTGGGCCCCTTCCTAAAGGTGCTTTGCTCTTGTTTAAGGCCAGAAGAAAGAGTCAAGGCTGAAACCTGGGTTTGGGAAAGGCGCCTGAACAAAGTTACCCCCAGAACAAAACAACTTGGGCAGCAGCAAAGACAACGCTATGGATTAAAAAGGCAAAGAAAAGGGGTCACTTTGGGGCTCTAAATCATTGGGGTTTAGTCTCAGAAGCCAGATCTTTAGTACCAGATCTTGTAAGAGTCGTGATGTACTTCCACATCTCAACCCAGCGCAGTAACTGCAATGTATCCCATAGGAATCCCTTCAAGCTCAGGCACAGTGAGCACACTGAAAGCCTCACAACACTGTTGCATGAACACAAACCATGCGGTCCTCGATCAGCATCCCCTCCTCCGTGACTCCATGAAGCCCATGCTCACTTTCGGGAGCCAAACCTTCCCAAGCAGTGCATTATTCCCATTGTAACTCTTATCTGCCCCAACTTCCTCTGCGCATCTCGACACTAAAGCCACAGGAACAACCACTTGAACAGGCTACAACTTCTCCCTCGGCTCCCATTACCTTACACCGGCTTTTGGGGCGGTTTGTACGTAATGAGCAGTATCAGCATTAGGATTCCTTCTCATCCAAAACCTTCAGCTTCCATTAAAACTGACCCTTCCAAAGCAAGCCGGGCGGGACACACAACGAAGCAACAGCACCAAACCCACCCCAAACCCATCCAAGCGCGCTCTGTTCGGCATTCCAAACACAGGAAACCCTTACAACCGAAAGGGAACCGAGGGGTACGGCGCCGCTCACACACACCGAGCCCGAGGTTCCCTCCCCTCCCGGACCCCCGTTACCTGCCGCGGGGAGCCGCCGCCTGCGCAAGCCCGGCCGGAGGGAGGGAGGGAGGGAGGGAGCGGGTCCCCCTGCCCGGCCCCACGGAGCCTGCGTTCCGCTGCTGCCCGGCCCTTGCCGCGGGGTCGGCTCGGGACAGCCCCGTTCCACCGCCCCACCGCCCGCCCAGTGGGGCCCGCGCCGGTGCCGCCGCAGCGCCGGCAGCAAACATGGCGGCCGCGGCCCCTTTAAGCCCGGTTGGGTCGGCGCCGCCACCGCCCCCGCTGCCCCTCACCTTCAGTGTGTTCCATTCTAACTGCCCCCGCCGCGTCCACCCAGCCCAGCGGAGACAAAGGCCGGCGGCGGGGGCTGCGGCGGCGGGCGGGCCTCCCGCCTCCTCCCGCTGCAGCAGCAGGCCGCGATGGAGCCCCGGGCTCGATTTCCGCGCCCCCGCCGCTGGCACCCGAGCTCCGCCCCGGGAGGCCGCCCGCCCCCCCACCGCCCGCTCCCGGCCGCTGCGGCCAAGGGGAGGCGCTCGGCGGGGCGCGGGCGGGCGCGGGCGACCGCTGGCGGCGGGGGAAGGCGGCGCTCGGTGCGCTCGGCCCGGTCCCGGCCCCGCTTGCGCGCCCTCCGCCTCCGCCCCCCCGCCGCCGCCGCGCACGACGTAGCGACGCCACCGCCCCTCGCATCCTATTGGGTACCCAGGCGGCGTCGGCCGCAAGGCATTATGGGGGTTGTAGTCCGGAGGGGTCGCATCGGTCCCGTGTGTTCGTGGCCCGCATCCCGAGGCGCTGCCGGTCCCTCAAGCCTCACGGTGAGGCCTTTGAAGCACCGAGCCCAGCCGAAGGACCCGGGTGGGAGCGGGGAGGGAAGCGCCGTCGCTCGCGGTAGGTTGTGAGTGGCAAAGGAGGCATCGGGATGTTCGTGGTTAATTCCCTTCCTCCACGGCCCTCCCGTCTTTATTTAGCCCAGGAAAACACAAGCGAAGCACACGGAGTGAATGTGCCCTGCGGCGAAACCAGCACGGCGGGGGTGGGGGGAGACAAGGGAAGCAAGGAAAGGCGAAGAGGGTGGGAAGTAAACGCGATGTGGAGGTGACACCCGTGGACAACAAAGCAGGAAGGATGAGGTAGGCGGCGATGAGACCAAACACGGAAGAGGAAGCTGAGACATGATGGTCTCATGGCCCCCAGTGTGAAGGGGGGAATTGCTGTGTGAAAGGGGATGGTAAGGCAATTCTCTTTCAACACAATCAGAGGTGGGCTGGGAAAGGCCTTCCCTCTCCCTCCTGTGCATTCTGAATGTGTGGAATTAAACGTTAATGGTCACTGCATACTGTTCTGGTGTCCCCAGCGTAGGGATGTGGAGCTGTTGGAGCACATCCAGTGAAGGGCATGAGGATGATGAGAGCAGCTCTGCTCTGGAGCCAGGCTGGGTCAGCCTGGAGAAGGCTCCTTAAGGGGAGACCTTAGAGCAGCTCTAGTGCCTGAAGGGGCTGCAGGAAACCTGGAGAGGGGCTTTGGGCAAGGGATGGAGGGACAGGACAAGGGGAATGGCTTGAACCTGCCAGAGGGGAGACTGAGCTGAGCTCTTTAAGCAGTGCTGCCCTGTGATGGTGCTGGCACACTGGGATGGGTTGAACGGAGAAGCTGCGGCTGCCCCATCCCTGGCAGCGCTTGGACCAACCCGCCCCAGTGCCACCTCGGGTCAAGCCCCGCCTCCTCCCCGCTCCTATTGGGTGTCCTGTGCGGCAGGGCCGCCATCCCGCCTTCTGATTGGCTCCCTCGGGGCGGGCCGTGCCGCCGCGCCGTGGCGTGATGGCGATGCAGCCATAGAGCGGCGCTCGCCGTTCGGGAGCCGCCGGTGGGGCCCGCACCGGGAGCAGCGGCCCCGAGGGGGATGAGGGTGCCTCCGGGGCCCGAGCCCGTCCGCTATGGCAGCAGTGGGATGGAGCCTGGTCCGCGCCGCCGCCAGGCACAGGTAAGGAGCCGGTGGGGCTCCGGGGATGGGGATAGGGATGGGGTAAGCGCACCTCGGTGGGGGGGGTCCCGGGCACCGCAACGCTTTGCTTTAGCCGTTTATATGCGGTTACTGGCGCTGTGCGGTAGCAGCAATGCGTTAACACGCTGCAGGGATGCGTTACAAACGATTCCTGGGTTAAAGATGGGAAATGCAAACGTTTGGTTTACCTAAAACACAGGGATTCCGGTGGGTGAGGTCTTCTCCCATTGGTAACGGAGATGGGAGTTTGTCCATGCTGCCCAAGTGATGCTGCTGGGGCAGGAGATACGATCTCCGTTCTGAACACATGGTTTGGGTTTAAAACGGGCAAATATGGAGCAGTGCAGTTGTTAGAAGGGTTTTCCTTCAGTGTGAAGTGCTGAGCTGTTCTCCACCAAAAGAGTTGTCAGCACTGGATGGATCATAGAGCACTGCTGTGATTCCCAGTACTTTGCTCTCAGACCCCTTCAACCCAAAGCAGTCTGTGGCTATGAATTTGGCACTAAGGCCATTAACGTGTGTCTGAATCCTGGGTACCATGGCTGCTCTGCTCTGACCTGCTTAAGCTCCTTCCCAGTTTCAGAGGCTCCCATCTCCTCGTGCACTCCAGTTCCCCGCTCTCCCCAGCAGTTGCTTTTGCCCAAGCAGTGGATCCTGGTTTAAGCTGGACCTGTGTCAGAGACTCTGAGAACCATCTGTGCCGTGCTCCCGTGGGTACCATCCTGCCCCATCCACTGGCTGCATCCCTGCGGGCATTCCACACCTCCAGCTGCTCACACCAGGAAGAACCCACATCCCGCAGCGATGTGACCCATAAGGCTCATCCTGACACAGAGAGGCCCAAGGGGACAAGGTCTTTACGCCAACGAGTTGTGGGGGAACTGAAGCATTATTACAATGGATTCCACTTGCTTTGGATCGACACAAAGGTGGCTGCCAGGATGGTGTGGAGGCTGCTGCATGGCCAGGTCCTCACTAGGAGGGAGAGAAGAAGGGTAAGTGCTGCCTGGCTGAAATGATGCCATAAGAGGCTTGCAGTGATGGAGAGGGGCTCTTCATCAGGGACTGTAGCGATGGGACAAGGGGTGATGGGTTCAGACTGAAACGGGGGTTCAGGTTGGAGATAAGGAAGAAGTTCTTTATGTGAGGGTGCTGAGGGGCTGGCACAGTGGTGAATGCTCCATCCCTTGTAGCTTCAAGGCCACATTGGGTGACATGGTCTAGTGTGAGGCATCCCTTGCCCATGGCAGGGGGTTGGAACTGGGTGATCTTCAGGTCCTTTCCAACCCAAACTCAATGGTTCTATGAAAGGAGCTGAACCCCTCGGTTTCCACGCTCCTTTGGAGCCCATTTGTGTGCCTGGTTGAGTGGGGATTTCTGCTGTGTCTTCTCTACAGCTGCTGAGAACTTGTGCAGATCTCTTCCGCCTGGTTCCCTTCCTGGTGTTCGTCATCGTCCCCTTCATGGAGTTCCTGTTGCCTGTGTTCTTGAAGCTCTTCCCTGAAATGCTGCCCTCGACGTTTGAGACGGAGTCAAAGAAGGTTTGTGTCCTTCCTGAGGGCGTTCTCCAGCTCATCAGAGCATCTCTACAGCTGCACACAAGAGCTCTTGTTTCCTGCCTGGTGCTGTGGGTGAGGAGCAGCCTCATGCACAGGTTGAGGACCCAGCTTGTTCCTATACAGAGCACCAGGATGTGGTGGTTGTGCTGTAAGCAATGATCAGCAGGAAAGCACACAGTTACCTGCATCAACCCAAGCCTGTTTGCTTTCAGCCCTGAAGCCCTATCCCATCTCTTTCCCACAATCCCCTCCTGATTTTCCAGTGGAATTCCTGATTTCTGTTTCGTTTCCTAAATGAAGGAAGAGAAGCAGAAGAAGAGGTTAAACGCGAAGCTGGAGTTAGCCAAGTTCCTGCAGGAAACCATTGCAGAGATGGCCAAAAGGAACAAAGTGGAATCAGCACAAGGAAAACAATTCTCCTCTTATGTGCACCAGGTAAAATGGGCAGGTAACAGCACCAGTCCTTGCATCAGCTTTAGTGCTGCTGTTTTGGGTAGAGAATGAGGGATTTGTACTAAGATAGCAGAGCAGCACAGAGCTGTCTGTCTGGGGTTACTATTAACTGGATGCCCCCCTGTTGCTGTCCTGCTCGTGACCCCACCACTCAGAGCTATCCATATGGACAAGCATTCCCATGCTGGAGCATCCTTCAAGTGGCCACTCAATGCTGTTTCCCTTTGGCCTTTTAACTGTAGGGTTTGGTTTCCATGCAGAGGCTGAAAACCCAGTGTGAGAAACAGGAAGGGCCCCTTCCAGAGATGGGGGGAAGAGGATCCTTCCCAAGGTGGGGTTCTCTTTGGCCCTGATGCCTCTTGCTTTGCCCAGATCCGTCGCAGCGGCCACCAGCCCAGCACCCAGGACATCGTGCGCTTCTCCAAGCTCTTTGAGGACGAGCTCACCCTGGAGCACTTGGAACGGCCTCAGCTGGTGGCTCTGTGCAAGCTGCTTGAGCTGCAGCCCATTGGCACCAACAACCTGCTCCGCTTCCAGCTCCTGCTCCGGCTCAGAACCATCAAGGCAGACGATGAGGTGAGCTTGAAGCAGCTCAGGTGTCCTTGCGCTGGTGGAGCGCAGGCTGAGACTGTGCCCTCTGCATCACTGCTGCTTTCCAGTTCTGGGATAGGCATCGCGTGGAAACACCATGAACCAAGTGAATTCAGGATGAGTTTATAGAGTGGCTGCATTCCTTTAGGGTGGAGAAGGCCAAGGGAGAATGTGCCTAATGGGGTTGCTTAGCACATGGAACCAGACTTAGAGGTGCACAGGAGGAGAACAGGTAAAGGTCATCAGTTGCAGCAAGGGAAATTCCATCTTGATAAGGAAACAAAGTCAAACTCAGTGGGTAAACAGTGGAATGGGTTTTCCAAAGGCTGTGGAATCCCCGTCCCCAGGGATGCTCAAGGCATACATGAAAAGGCTGAGCAATGTAAAGAAATGTGTAAGTTAACCCTCTGTTGAACAGGAGGTTGGACTAGGGACCTCCAGAAGTCCCAGCCTATGTTTTAGGCTTGTGGAGGAGCTGTGGTTTGAAATGGTGTAAAGAATCCTATTAGGACACAGAAGAAAAGACCACAAAGGTTACTGCTAGGAAGAGATGAGGAGTTCTGACAGGCACATGCAACTAACCAGGTTTACTAACTAGTTAACTAACCAGCTAACTAACTAACCCAGGTCCAGCTTTAAAGCCTGCAACTGGGGGTGTGAATGAGCTCTTTCCTGGAGCATCACATGTCACAGATGCCTGTGGGAAACCCAAAGTCATTAGGATCCAGGTTTTCCATCCTCTGTAGCTGAAGGCTGTCAGAAGGAATAACCCACAAAGGTTCCATTTCGTCTTTGTATTGGGGTGACTTCATGCCCATTTACCTAAGCAGACCTTTCCATGGGCTCAAGCCCATCAAGTACATCAGGGTTTTGGCTTACTCTGTGCCTGGATAGGAGCCTCCCTTTTCGTTGCAGCTGATTGCCAAGGAAGGAGTCAATGGCCTGAGTGTGTCCGAGCTGCAGAGCGCGTGCAGAGCCAGAGGGATGCGGTCACTGGGGCTCTCAGAGGAGCAACTGAAGGAACAGCTCAGACAGGCAAGTCCACCCCGGTGTGGTCCTAGGACACAGTGAGCAGCAGTGCTCAGGCCCAGCTTCACCAGGGGTTCATCCATTCCACATGGATCCTCACCTGACAGAGCAGTTTAAAGGCATGAAGGATCCAGATGATGGCTTGGACTAAAGAGAAGACCAAGTAGCATCAGGGCCAGCTAGAAGGAAGATGAAGGGAGGGTGTGTGGAATATGATTTAAGCTTCTAAAGTAGCCAAGACTTGTACCAGAGCCAACACCAGTGTTCTGTAAGCATTGAAACAGGTTACAGACAGTGCAGTAGGTGCTGTTTGTGTAAGGTGTAGGTAACTCAAAGTACTTTGCTTTAGCTGGTGGCTGCTTCTCAGTAGTGATGTTTTTCCCTCATGAGCAGCTGGGAGCATCCTCTCCAGTGTATATTCCATTTGGTATCCTTAACTCTTCCAAACTATTCCTTCTCATTGTGGCGACTTAAATCTGTGCAAGTCAAACTCCAGATACCTTTAAGCTCCTGAAGGACGAAGGATGCTGTGTAAATCAGTACTGACATAAAACCATACATGAAATACCTTTTCCTTCTGTTTTTCCTCCAATAGTGGCTGGATCTGCATTTGAAAGAGAACGTTCCACCTTCTCTGCTCCTGCTTTCCCGTGCCTTGTACTTGATAGATACAAAGCCACAACCTGCTCCAGGTCCCCAAAAGCAGGTGGGTTGTTTGAACAGAGCTTTCAGGTTAATAGCTCAACCATTCCACGTTATAAAGATGAAGCCCTGGGACAAGGATCTTGTTCTTTGATCCTCCAAGTGGGCTGAGGTTATAACTGTGCTGAGCTCAGTGTTCTTCTGCAGAGAGGTGAAACTGCTCCAGTCACGACATCCACTCTCGAAGGCCAAGAGACCCTGATGGATCCTGCCCCTGGTGTACAGGGAGGAAAGGTTGGGAAAGAGCAATCTCTGAGTAGGACAATGAGGCTGTACTGCTGTAATCTTTGGGAAGAGCATGGGGACAAAGCTTTCCAGAGCTAGGCAACACCCCCTGTTTGACACCATTGCCCAGAGCACACAAGCAGTGCATGTGCTTGCATTGGGTTTGTGCCACAGAGCCTCATGGTTGCATGCTCCGACTCGAGACAGTGAAAGGTAGAGAGAGCTATGGCACATCTTGGCCTGGTGCTGGAAGCAGCACCAGGACACCAGGATTAGGGTTAATAACCCAAGTTATTGAGTATCACAGTGTTGGCTTCCAGCAGAGGGGCACTCACAAGCTGCTAAGTTGCTTTATCCACATACAGAGACCTCAATTCAAGAGCAATTAGCTCAGGGAAGGCAGTTAAAGGCAACTTGAGACTTGTTTTCAGCTCTCTTAGTGAGCTGGGGAGTGGTCCAGGACAAGGAGGGACAAAACACCTGGAGCAGGAAAGCCAGAGGGGATGGTTCTCAGCATAAGGCTCGAGAGAATTCCTTGGGTTAGTCCAAGCTGATAGAAGCAGCAACAGGATTGAGGGAGGGCATTGTGGTGACTGCTAGGAGTACTCCCAAACAGCACTGTTAGGTTGGAGATGCTGACCTGGAGCTCTCACAGGCGTGCAGTGCAGGGAGCAGCCTTACTTGGGAAGGAGAAGGGGCTGGATGGGATGGAGGTAGAGCTTTGTTTCCTGAGGCTTCTATGCCTTAAAGCTGCTTTTTCCTTAAAGGATGAAGAGGTTGTATCCCAGCCAACAGAGCAATTGCCAGGCTCAGAAGTGCCAGCAAAGCCTCCCCCTCAAGAGGTAAGCTTTTCCAACCTCAGACTTCCCAAAGGAGATTGTTCTTTCCACAGCTCCCAAGCTGGGGATGGATGCTACAAGGTGCTGGGGATGGATGAGAACTGCATTGAGGGCTGCTAAATACAAACCCACCACACTTGACAGGCACTGTGAGGAATTCCCAGTGTGCCTTTCCCTGTGTTCCTCCTTAACATCCATCCATGGACCACGAGGATAAACCCACCCTGGGGTTATGTGGCCTTTTGTGCCTGTAAAGTCCTTTCTACAGTGTCTTGTGCCTGTTTTCTTGCTGTAAATACCTGGTGTCAGTTTAGCTGCTTACACAGACATCCAGGCTGCCCATTGAAGGCAAGTTTGAGCCCAGACTGGCGTTTATCAACAGGAGAACGCTCCTTTCCACAGTAACTTTGTTCTAGGTCTGCTTCCCATAGGGGAAAATACCTTCTTCCAAAGAATTCCTTGCATCTTGAGAAGCGTTTGTCCTGATAACTGCCTCAAATCCACTTCTTTCTCTTGCATCCAGACCCAAATGGAAGCATCTCGGAGCAGCAAAGCCAGCGCCAATGGAGCATAGCCTGGAGCCAGCGAGGACTGTGTGACACCGGGAGAGCAGCACTGTCCCCTCTGCCCCTCCTCGGAAGGAAAGAGGGATTCTCCCAGAGGATGCATCACCCAAAGAGGTGGCAGCAGCCCTTGGGGGCCTCTCCGTGTGCAGGCACTTACCTGGATGGCACCGGCTCCTCCGTTGTACTGGATCCCCCCCCAGTTTAACTTACTGTATGTTAACAGTGATGCTGCTGTCAGTGCTGTTGCTGAAGGGGGTGTTTGTGCTCAGACCTCAGGAAAGGCAACTCTTCATTGCACTAAAGCCCAGAATGAGCTGTGCTGGAGCTCCGGTAAAGCCTGGTGTACAGGGTGAGACCCCCATCCCCAGGGCCTGCAGCATCATCTGGCTGCTGCAGCTTTCCAAGCTCTTGAGCCTAGCATGGATTAAGCAATAAGCAGTGCACACAGTGGTCTCTGTTGCTGTTGTTTCACTGTCCCATGTGTACCAAGGTGAATGAGAGCAGCAGAGGGATGCCAGCACATTCATCAGTGCTGTGGCTGAACTCAGCTGGTCAGGAGGACCTAAGGACTTGCTGGACAAAAGCAGGGCTGTGAAGAGGATGGCTTCACTGCTGGACCAAGTCTGATGTAACCTGCATCAAGTCAAACCTTATCAGGCTCAGAGCTGCACAAAGTGATGCTTCACACGCTCCGATGCTGACTGATTCTGGAAACCTCTATGGGAGGATGCTCAAAAGCTGGTTTTAGCATTTAAGTGTTTTTTACTTGTCCTGTGTCTTCAGCAGTGACTCACATGATGGGTTTTAAACGTGTATTTATACTTATTGTCAATGTAAAACTAGACTTGGTGCTAAGTAGAATGAAATGTCTCTTGTAGAGGTCAGAGAGCCCTTAGAACAATCCAACTCAACAAGAGCCTGGCTGCTATCAGCACTTCAAGCACCCAGGTTCCTGCTCACAGGAATGCTGTGTTCCCTGTTCCATCCCTGCACCCTGCAGTACTGGGGGGTTAAGGGAATAACAACTAATGGTACCTCAATAAAACAACCCCATTCCTCTGCATGATGCGGGTGAGGTGTTGCTGGTGCCTGACTCAGTGTAGGATCCCGCTGGGGCACTGGGATGGGTGTGCAGAAGGATGCGAGCGGCAGCCCCGTTATGGCAGCAAGGGTTTGAAGAGGGAGATGGAGCTGCTGAGCTCAAATGGCAGAGGAAGATCCGCCTAAAGCACAAACGGGAGGGATGCGGGTCCTGTCCGTAAGTGCAGTGAACGCCAGTGCCGCTTCCCACCGGTAGATCGCAGCATCACCCAATGCTTGCATTGGCGAGCCCCAAAATGGGCTGGTGGGAGTGAATCCACCACGCACCGAGAGGCAGCTGGGGCCGACCAAAACACCTGCAAAGCTTTCCACATCCCACATACCCATGAAGCCCTTGGGATTTAAGGCAGGATCCTGCTTCCAGGTCCGAGAGACACCCAAGGACCAGCATTAAACCCCCTTCAGAGCCTGTAAAGCCATGGTCCTGATTGCACCCAGTGCTCCGGTGCCCATGCAGAGCATCCCTCCAGTAACGCCTGTAACATCATGGTCCTGATTGCACCCAGTGCTCCTGGTGCCCATGCAGAGCATCTCTCCAGTAATGCCTGTAAAGTGATGCTCCTGACTGCACCCAGTGCTCCTGGTGCCCATGCAGAGCATCCCTCCAGTAATGCCTGTAAAGTCATGCTCCTGATTGCACCCAGTGCTCCGGTGCCCATGCAGAGCATCCCTCCAGTAATGCCTGTAAAGTCATGGTCCTGATTGCACCCAGTGCTCCGGTGCCCATGCAGAGCATCCCTCCAGTAACGCCTGTAAAGTCATGCTCCTGATTGCACCCAGTGCTCCGGTGCCCATGCAGAGCATCCCTCCAGTAATGCCTGTAAAGTCATGGTCCTGATTGCACCCAGTGCTCCGGTGCCCATGCAGAGCATCCCTCCAGTAACGCCTGTAAAGTGATGCTCCTGATTGCACCCAGTGCTCCTGGTGCCCATGCAGAGCATCCCTCCAGTAACGCCTGTAAAGCCATGCTCCTGATTGCACCCAGTGCTCCTGGTGCCCATGCAGAGCATCCCTCCAGTAACGCCTGTAAAGTCATGGTCCTGATTGCACCCAGTGCTCCTGGTGCCCATGCAGAGCATCCCTCCAGTAACGCCTGTAAAGCCATGGTCCTGATTGCACCCAGTGCTCCTGGTGCCCATGCAGAGCATCCCTCCAGTAACGCCTGTAAAGTGATGCTCCTGATTGCACCCAGTGCTCCGGTGCTGATGCAGGGCATCCCTCCAGTAACGCCTGTAAAGTGATGCTCCTGATTGCACCCAGTGCTCCTGGTGCCCATGCAGAGCATCCCTCCAGTAACGCCTATAAAGCCATGGTCCTGATTGCACCCAGTGCTCCTGGTGCCCATGCAGAGCATCCCTCCAGTAACGCCTATAAAGCCATGGTCCTGATTGCACCCAGTGCTCCTGGCGCCCATGCAGAGCATCCCTCCAGTAACGCCTGTAAAGTCATGGTACTGATTGCACCCAGTGCTCCTGGTGCCCATGCAGAGCATCTCTCCAGTAACGCATGAAGCCACATGGAGGCGGTGTGTTGGGAGCCCTCATTTAAAGAGCTGGCTGCAGCCCCACAACAGCAGAGCCGCACATGGAGAGCCCGGTCCTTGCACGCAACACCCCAGCATCTGCCCCGAGCTGGGAGGAGAGAGCGTGTTTGGATCCCCAGGAGCCATTGGGAGCACCCATGAGCCATTCATCACCGCAGGGTAATGAAGTGTTCTCAGCACCAAACACACTTCAAAGCCCAGACCCTGGCCTTGCATCCAGACCCGCTGCAGACAGCAGCCAAAGCAACCCACCGAGCTCTGCAGCAGGGGATGCTGCTCCCTTCCCCAGCCCCTAATGAGTGGTCCATGGGGCACAGACATCCTCCAAGTGCCCACGTATCCATCGCTCCTGCAGCCTGCCCGAGGGATGCACCAGAGCCTTGCCCCTGCCCCACACAAGCCCCTTTGTGGGCATCACCAGCACATGGGTACAGTTCCTGTGCCCCAACAGCTCACCAAGCCCATCACCACTGTGCTTGCAGCACCGTGAGCCTACCTGATGCATTAAGCCTGGTGAGTGCCTGCTGCACAGCAGCAATGAGCTCATCTCTCTCTGCTTTAATACCAGAGGCTGGGTGTGCCAGCAGCACCAGCAGCTGAGCAGGATGAGGCCATCAGCTTCCATCAGTGAGCAACCAGGGACAGGCTTGGGAAAGCTGGGTTTGAATGGCCTGTTTGTTCCTCTATAGCAGAACAGGGGTGAACAGCAGCAGCTCCCTTTGCAGGAAACCCCTTGCAGAGGAGCAGGGATGCTCTTTTCCCAGGGTGTCCCATATGGGTGGGAGGTGGGATCCTGGCTTAAATCCATAGGGATTCATCCAAGCTAGGGAAGAGCAAGCTGTGCCAGCACCAAGAGCTGGGACAGGCTCCCGGGAAGGAGTGGGATGCTGATGGGATGAAGGGGTGAGCTCAGGATGAGCTATGGTGCTCTATGAGCCCCATCCATGCTGGTGTGTGTGTGCGAGGAGTCGCTTCGTGTCAGTTTTCCTCCTGTGATTCCCATTTAGAAGGACCTGGAAGCCAGGGAATGCTGTTCCCTGGTTGTCCTGTGCTGCACAGCTCCATTGCCAGCTTCAGTGCTGAGCACCAGCGGGGAGCAAGGGCACTGCATGAACCCGCAGCATCCTTGCACCACTTCCACATCCCTAACCAAGCCCTGTGCTGGGAATGACACATCCTTCCCACATGGATTTGTGCTGCAAAGGGGAGCCCTGCTCCCTCCAGCCCATCACTATGGGGGCACCTATGGGGGCTGGAGCCCGAGCCCAGGGACCCCCAACCTTATGGAAGGGTTTGCTGCGTGACCCCAGAGCGAGAGGAGCAAAGGGACCCATAAGGGGTTGGATGCTGCTCTGCATCCAAGGCCCTGTGTGCTTTGGCATGGGGAGAGCTTTTCCAGCCGTGCCGGTGCCAAACACCTTCCAGTCCCCCCCTTTGCATCCCAGAGCCAGCTCTTCACTGCTTTATCCTTCCCCAGGGGCATCCCGGTGTTATCCCAGCTCCCGGGCTTTGTGGTACCCATTCCCCTGTGCCTCTGCCTTGGAGGTGGTGGGATTCCGCCTGGATCCCGGTTGGAAGCATCTCTTCTATGGCACAGCCCCGGCCCTTGCGTCAGCCTCTTCCCCACAAAGATGCAGGGCTCAGCACTTTGTAGGAGATGAATATTCAGGGGGAAAAGCACTGATTTAGTGGGGCCCAAGCACAACAAAGGCTGAGATTTACAGCCTGTATCCGAGCTGCATTCCGAGCAGGCCTGCTGTCTCTGCTGTAAATCTGGAACAAAGGAGACAGAGCCTAAAACCAGCCTGAAGTAACAGGGAGCAAGGGCTCAGCACCCAAACCTTGCTTGGGGTGCTGTGGGGTGCAGGCAGCAGCATCCAGGGATGGTCCCATCACGGGGCCCACAGGGAATGCTGGACACCTTCCACTAGAGCAGGATGCTCCGAGCCCCTGTGTCCAACCTGGCCTTGAACACTGCAGGGATGGGGCAGCCACAGCTTCTCTGGGCACCCTGTGCCAGCGCCTCAGCACCCTCACAGGGAGCAACTTCTTCCCTGGATCCAACCTGGTTCTGATCCACATCTGGTTCTGATCCATATCTGGTTCTGATCCATATCTGGTTCTGATCCACATCTGGTTCGGATCCACATCTGGTTTGGATCCACATCTGGTTCTGGTTCTGATTCATATCTGGTTCTGATCCACATCTGCTTCTGATCCACATCTGGTTTTGGATATGATCCACATCTGGTTCTGGTTCTGATCCACATCTGGATCTGATCCACATCTGGTTCTGGTTCTGATCCATATCTGGTTCTGATCCACATGTGGTTCTGGATCTGATGTACTTCTGGTTCTGAGCCACCTCTGGTTCTGGATCTGATCCACATCTGGTTCTTTTTCTGATCCACATCTGGTTCTGATCCACGTCTGCTTCTGATCCACATCTGGTTCTGTTTCTGATCCACATCTGGTTCTGTTTCTGATCCAAATTTGGTTCTGATCCACATCTGGTTCTGGTTCTGATCCACATCTGGTTCTGATCCACGTCTGCTTCTGATCCACATCTGGTTCTGTTTCTGATCCATATCTGGTTCTGATCCATATCTGGTTCTGATCCACATCTGGTTCTGATCCACATCTGGTTCTGGTTCTGATCCATATCTGGTTCTGATCCATATCTGGTTCTGATCCACATCTGGTTCTGGTTCTGATCCATACCTGGTTCTGATCCACATCTGGTTCTGGTTCTGATCCATATCTGGTTCTGATCCATATCTGGTTCTGATCCACATCTGGTTCTGGTTCTGATCCATACCTGGTTCTGATCCACATCTGGTTCTGGTTCTGATCCATATCTGGTTCTGATCCACATCTGGTTCTGGTTCTGATCCACATCTGGTTCTGGCCCTGCTGTAGGGATGGAGCCGGACCCCCAGAACCCCACTGCTGGGTGGGATGGGTGGGACAAGGGGGTCACTGCCCATGTACCCGCTGTGCTGTGGGACCCTGCATCAAGGGGCACATGCAGAGACACTTCCATGGCTGGCAGCAGGACAAAGCCCAGCTCCGGGGCTGGGCCGTGGCCAAGAGATTGCCTGGGTCCTGCACAGCCAGAGGGCTTTAAAAGGAGAGAAAGAGGAAGGCGAGAAGTGGAGGAGACAAAGGATGCTGCGAGAGCCAAACGTGCCATGGGGCTGAGCCCTTCCAGTGCTTGGTGGGGGTCCCGCAGGCACCCACTCCAATCCCCCCTTGTTTTGGGGTCATTTCCCATCTCACTCACCTCCTAAGTTCAATTGCAGCCCCTGGGCAGTGCTGGGTGATGGGGATGGCTTTGGTCCTGCAGCCTTGTCCTGGGCTTGCTGCCACCCTCAGGGATGATGCTCGGGGTCCAGCTCCACGTGGGGCCACCCATTGGATGGGTGCTGACATCAACCTTGGGGGTATCTCCATGTCGTGGAGTTGCCCACGTCGTGATGATGCTGTACCTGGAAGAGCAGCGAGGAGCCCCATCTCCCTGCATCCATCCCTGCATCCATCCCTGGGTGAGAGGCAGCGCAGCATCCCCAGCGCGCTGCGGGATGCAGGATGCAGGGATGCTCCCGCTGCCCATCCCATCCCCATCAGCAGCTCTGCTCCTATTTAACTGCCCTCCTGGTAACCCCAGGAAACAAGCAGGAGCTTGTGGCTGCAGCGGTTCCTGGTGCTGTGAACACGAGCTCCATCCCTCTCTGCCCTGCCAAGTGTATCCCAAGGGAGCAGTGATTGATGGAGACCCCCAGCCCCGCTCCCTGCGCCTGGTTTCATCCCGGGCTGGGAATTCAACATAAATCACTTCATTAAAAGCTCTACTTAATTTAGGAGGAGAGGAAGAGGGGGGGGCAGACACTGCTGATCGATTTAATCTGTGCAGGGAAACAGCCACAAGCAGATGCTTTTAAGAGGACCAGTGAGGCCGATGATGCTGCAGCTGGTTCATCCCACCCGTTGCAGTGCTTATCCCTAAGGAAGGGACCCACTGTTACCATCACGCACTTGTCTGCAGTAGCAAAGGGGTTGAATGGGGAGGATGCTTGAGGCGTGCTAAACAGCTCCCACGGGACCAGGCACCGTTCCTTGCTATTCCCTCAATGTCCTTTGGATGAGCTGGAAGCAGGGACAGGGCAGCGGAGCCTGGGTTAAAGTCTTTAATAATTACAGGAATTCCAGATTCATTACAGAAGAGTTTACAACAAATAAGATTTCTCCATACAAAGGCAAAATAAACTTTTCAAGTAATAGCGGCCTGGCTCCGGAATCTCAACGCCAGTGACAGGGAAGGAGGGAAGGGACACGCATATCCCCATCCCTGCCCATGGAAACACCGCAGCCTGTCCTCCCCAGCACCAGCTCCATGGAGCAGAGCTCGGGCAGGATGCGGATGCTCCCGGTAAGGCACTGGTGGGCATCACCCAGGGGAGTTGAGGAGGGCTGGACCAATGCCTTGGGGTCCAGCATGATCCCTGCTCCTTCCCATGGACGCAGCCCCATCCCCGGGTACCATCCCAACCCCTTGCTGGCACAAGCATCCCACGCACCAATATGGTGCCATGGGGTGCAGGAGGGCCAGGGAAGGGGCAGGCACATCATGACAACGTATTCCCACAAGGCATCGACGTTATTGGTACTGTTTAATAGAGCCCCATATAAAAGTGAAGCAGCAGCAGCAGCAATTGATACCGAGGGACCTAAAACTGAACTGGGTTTAGAACATAACTTAAAAAGAAAAAAAACAAAACAAACCACCATAAAAACAGCAAAAAGTAGCAAAATATATGGATTTTTGTTGGTTTTTCATAGCATCTGATCCCTCCCAGCCACTAGAACCGTCCTACCCGCCTGGTGCATCTCTGGTAACAACCCCTTTAAAAAGACATGTAAATATATATTCATATTTATACATATTTGTCGTTATGTACACAGGAGTTTTGTCTTTAGCACTGGGAAAACTGGGGGGGGGGGGGGGCACCCGCTGCAGCTCCCGATCCCGAGGTGCTAAGGGTTTGGAAAGCAAATCCCATTGGTGTTGGCACTGCCGAGATGCAGGACCAGTCCCCTTGCACAGCCATAGGATGCTCGGCTCCAAGGCATGGTTAATCCTGGCTCTTCCATGATGGGTGATTGGCTCCTCACTTCCAACAGAAGATTCCGGCTTAACCAAGTGGAAATATCCAAGGGAAAAGGAAGAGAAGGAAACCTTTGGGCTGCAGGGAGCTCCCGGCACACGAGGTGGATGCATTTGGTTAGGGGAGATGCTGCCGTTGTGTCTGTGACCCCCCTCCGTTCTGCTCCGGTCCCTATGGGGATGCCACCCCTCAGTGTCGCTTCAGTCCCCCGTTGGTGTGCTGAGGTGGGAATTTGGGAAGGCACGGCTCATCTGGAAGAGGGTCGTGGGAGAACACCGAGTCCTCTCCCGAGGAGCACGTGGAGCTGCGGGTGTCCGGGAAGCCGGGGGAATACTGATCCAGCGGCATGGAGAGGTCCAGGTACTCCTGGGAGGGAGGAACAGTGAGGATGGGCTCCGGATGGGGATAGAGCATCCCATGGGGATGGGGATAGAGCATCCCATGGGGAACACCCAGCTCTGGATGGGGATAGAGCATCCCATGGGGAACACCCAGCTCTGGATGGGGATAGAGCATCCCATGGGGAGCACCCAGCTCCAGGTGGGGGTAGAGCATCCCATGGGGAGCACCCAGCTCCAAATGGGGGTAGAGCATCCCATGGGGAGCACCCAGGTTTGGATGGGGATAGAGCATCCCATGGGCTACCTGGTTGGAGGTCATGGCCACGATCCTGTCCAGGTCTTCCACCAACTGCTTGAAGGTGGGTCTCTGCGATGGGACAGCGTGCCAGCAATCCCGCATCATCATGTACCTACGGGCAGAGGGAGGCGAGGGATGAGCATGGAGACCCTGGAACGGCCACTGGGAGCCCATGGCCAGGAAAGGCGTCATTCCAGGGATGTAGGGCTAATGCCCTGTGTGGAAGGAAGGAGCCTCCTGGCTGCAGGGATGCTTTGGGAGGAGGATGCTCGGGGAGCTGGGTTAATCCCTGCTCCGGGGTCATCCTGTGATCCTATCCTGCAAGAAGCAATGGGAGGAGTTGGTAGAAGAGGAGGCTCTGGGGAGACCTTAGAGCAGCTCCAATGCCTAAAGGGGCTACGGGAAGCCTGGACAAGGGATGCAGGGACAGGACAAGGGGAATGGCTTGAACCTGATAGAAGGGAGATTGGGATTCAGACAGGGCTTGGAGCATCCTGCTCTAGCGGAAGGGCAGGGGTTGGAGCTGGATGAGCCCCGGTGCCGCTGCAGCCCCATTCCCTGCCCTGCTCCACTCACAGCTCATTGGTGCAGTTGCTGGGCTTGTCCATCCTGTGCCCTTCCTTCAGCAGCTTGAAGAGCTCCTCCACGGGCACACCAGGGTAGGGCGAGCCCCCCAGGGTGAAGATCTCCCACAGCAGCACACCAAAGGACCACCTATAGAGGGCAAGCGCAGAAGATGCTGGGGCACCCATAGGGCCAAGCATCCCCCCGTTGGGTTCTTTGAGGGCTTCCCGCTGCATCATCGCCTTCGGGTCCCTGGTCCCCTATCCCATCCCGTGTCCCTACTCACACATCGCTCTGGTGCGTGTATATTCGGTCAAAGAGAGCCTCTGGGGCCATCCACTTCACTGGCAGGCGACCCTGGGGCGCAGGAAAGCTCCACATCAGCTCTGTGCTGACAGGGATGGGGACAGGGATGCAGCCCTGCATGCCCGTGGCATCACCAGCACGGGATGGAGCATCCCTGGCACACAGAGCAACACTCACATTGGTGGTCTTCTTGTAGTAATCGATGTGGTGGATGTCACGGGCCAGGCCGAAGTCAGCGATCTTCATCACGTTGTCCTCGGTCACCAGGACGTTCCTGGCCGCCAGATCCCTATGGATGCACTGCCCAAGCAGCGGGACATCAGCAGGTCCCCAAGGATGGGTCCCCACCATAAAACGCGCTTGCATCCCGAGCCCCGCATCCCATCGGGATGCTCCTCACCTTCTTGGAGGCCAGGTACTCCATGCCCCGGGCCACTTGGTAGGCGCAGGAGACCAGGTCCTTGAAGGAGAGCTGCTCCTCAGGGACACGTGTGGGGTTGTAGCAGTATTCCATGCCCGGGGGCCGCCGCGCCTGCAGGTATTCCCGCAGGTTGCCCTTGCTGGCGTACTCCACGATCACATAGAGGGGTCCTATGGTGGGATGAGAGGTTGGATCACGGAGCAGGAGCTCCGGGCCCTATGGATACAATGAGAGCTCCTTCCCATCCTCACCATCCTGCGTGCAGGCTCCCAGCAGGTTGATGATGTTCTTGTGCTTGCCGATCATCTTCATCATCTCCATCTCGGAGATGAGGTCGGACAGGTCCTTCTCTGTGGCGTCGGCTAAAGGCAGAGGTTGGTGATGGGGGTTGGATGCGGGTTGGATGTGGGTACCCCCATCCTGCAGCATCCTGCCTGCATCCCCCCCCGTTGTCACCACCACTTACACTTGAGCATCTTCACAGCCACCTTGGTCACACGGTTTGGTTTGTCCTTGTCGAGCCCAATGGCTTCAGCCAGCACCACCTGCCCGAAGCATCCTTCCCCCAGCGGCTTGCCCAGGATGAGCCTGGCCGGGGGAGAGATTTACACTGAGATCCATCCCCGGTGCCACCAGCCCCGCTGCTCCGGCACCGCATCCCATGGCACGCATGGGACCTCACCGATCCCGCGGCAGCTCCCAGCGCGGGTCCTCGGGGAGCTCGTACTCGGAGACGCCGGCCAGCATTGGGGTACCACTGGAGGAGAGGCGCGAGGGCCGCACCAGCATCACCCCCGAGTTCATGGAGGAGCTGGAGTCGGCCGAGACCTGCGGGGGGGACCGTGGGTTACCCTCACGCTGCATCCGCTGTCCCCATGGCAACGGGGATGCTGAGCCAGGGGGCTCCCAGCCCTAACCCTGCCCGCTTGTGCTGCTGCCACGCTGGGGCCAGGCTAAGGTGCGAGTTCATTCCCAGCTATTGATTTCCAGGCTGAGAGCATTGGGGATGCTCAGCCTAGAGGGGAGAAGCTGCGTGGAGAGCTCAGAGCAGCTTCCAGTGTGTGAAGGGGGCTACAAGGATGCTGGAGAGGGGCTCTGCATCAGGGACTGTAGCAATAGGACAAGGGGTGATGGGTTCAGACTGAAACAGGGGAGGTTCAGGTTGGAGATAAGGGATAAGTTCTTTATGTGAGGGTGCTGAGGCGCTGGCACAGGGTGCCCATAGAAGTGAATGCCCCATCCCTGGCAGTGCTCAAGGCCAGGTTGGATGACATGGTCTAGTGTGAGGTGTCCCTGCCCATGGCAGGGGGTTGGAACCGGATGATCTTCATCTCCTTTCCAACCCAAACCATTCTGTGATTCTATAGCATTACACTGCTGTAAGTCCTTCTCCTCTCCTCACCCTCATTGAGCCATGCCAAGGGGGCCACAGTGCATCCCCTCTGCTAGGGGGATACCCATGGATGTCCCCTATATCCCGCACCACGATGGGCACCAAGCTGAGAGGGTGGCAGAGCTCCCCCAGCACTGGGTGTCCCCCGGAGGGGCAATAGGTGCAAACAAACCCCCTCTCTACTTTCTGTTACCTGTCTGCGCAGAGGGATGCTCTTGGCCAGCTTGTGCACGGCCAGCTGGCTGTTGAAGTCCGTCTTCTTGGTGGTGCTCTTCATCTTGTAGATGATGATGGTCACCACCATGCAGGAGATGAGGAAGGCCCCGGTGCAGTAAATGATGATCTCCAGGTACAGGGGGGACGTCATCATGGCCGGGGTGTCTTCAATAGCTGGGTCGGTGTGAACAGGGCGTTAGCATCCATGAGCCCCCCTGGTTCTGCATTGCTGGAGCCTCGGTGCAGCAGGGACCAGGGGGTGTCATCACCCATCCTGCAGGCATGGGGCAATGCAGCATCCCGGGAGCAGGCCCCTTTCCCAGTGCTCTGCATCCACTCAGAGCTCAAGTCCATGGTGGGATGAGGCCTGACCCGGGGCAGAGCAGCCAGAAGCACTTCCAGTGGCAGCGACCTTGCAGTGGGACCCATCCATGGGGCAGCCCCTGCTTTGCTGGGACACATCAGAGCCATGCACAGCTCCATAGGGCTGCAGCCTCACAATCAGTGATGGATCTGCACCCCCAACCTGACCCCCCCCCCAGAACAGAGCCTCAGAGAGAGGTGTAAGAGGGAGTGAAGATTCCGGTCCCATCTCTGAGCGCATCCGGCTGGAAAACAGCGCCTGATAACGAGGAAAGCTTTTGGCTGGGGAGCACCAACCAGGCAGCACCCCAAAAGCTTTCCCAGGTGCTGTTATCAGGCTTTGGTCCATGCATTGATGCCTGAGGAGCAGCATCAATGGGGACACAGGGGCACAGCAGAAGCGACACACAGAGAGCCCCACGTGGGTCCTGTGCTGCAGGGCAAGGCAGGGAGCACCCCAAAACCTTGCCCTGGCTACGGGACCCTCCTGCTCCAATGGAGCAGCCCCTGGTTAAGCACCCGGGTATGCATCAACTGGGCCAGGGAGAGAGCAGCGGGCAGACCCCAATGGGGGCACACAGCGGGGGGATGCGCATCCCATCCCGCTCCGGCTGCAGGGAGCATTCCCGCATTCAGTGCATGGGGGGGACCGGGATGCGCTCTCTCCCGGACCACGATGCATACATTGGAAAGGAGGGAGGAAAGGGAGAGGAAGAGGAGTATATACCTTCGAGAACTGTCAACCATGCAGAGTGATGGGAGATCCCAATAGAATTACCCGCCAAACATGTATACTCCCCAGCATCCTCAAATGAGACATTCCTTAAGTGAAGGACTTCCATTTCTTTGTCTGTCGTGTTAACGCCAGCCGTCTAGAGGGAAAAATGGAAGCAGAAAACGGAGAAGCAAACGCCATGAGATCCTGTGGGAAGGAGGCCAGAGAGGAGGGAGAACCCAGTCTCATTTGCCAGACCCCCGGGGAGCAGACAGAGACCAACTGCAGACCTGCTAAAGAGACCCTCGGGATGACCACTCATCCAGGCGGACCTAAGGAGATGCTGGTTAAAAACCCTTCACCAAACGGAGTGTCCTGCCCATCGGAACATGCTGGCAATGGGCTGCATGGAGAAATGGACCCCAGGCAGAGCCGGCTGGGTGGCTTGGATGACATGGGGAGGTACGAGGAGGGAGGTGGGAGGATGGAGATGACAAGGATGGAGATGGGAGGATGGAGATGGGAGGATGGAGACAGGAGGATGGAGACAAGGACGGAGATAGGAGGATGGAGACAACAACGATGGAGATGGGAGGATGGAGATGGGAGGATGGAGACGAGAGGATGGAGATGGGATAATGGAGATGGAAAGATGGAGACAAGGATGGAGATGGGAGGATGGAGACAGGAGGATGGAGATGGGACGATGGAGAAAAGGAGGATGGAGACGGGAGGATGGAGATGGGAGGATGGATACAGGAGGATGGAGATGGGACGATGGAGAAAAGGAGGATGGAGACGGGAGGATGGAGATGGGAGGATGGATACAACAAGGATAGAGACAATGAGGATGGAGACAGGAGGATGGAGATGGGAGGATGGAGATAACAAGGATGGAGACAAAGAGGATGGAGACAAAGAGGATGGAGACGGCAGAATGGAGACAAGGAGGATGGAGATGGGAGGATGGAGATGGGAGGATGGATACAAGGATAGAGGCAATGAGGATGGAGATGGCAGGATGGAGATAGGAGGATGGAGACGGGAGGATGGAGATGGGAGGATGGAGATGGGAGGATGGAGACAACAAGGATGTAGATGTGAGATGGAGATGGGAGGATGGAGACGGGAGGATGGAGACAACAAGGATGGAGACAAGGAGGATGGAGATGGGAGGATGAAGACAAGGAGGATGCAGACAGTGAGGATGGAGATGGGAGGACGGATACAGGAGAGCAGCACAGATGGGGGACACAGCACTATGCTGTTCCCACCCACACACAGATGGATGCCAGGGCTGGGTGCGCACTGGCCCCATATCAGCACCGTAAGGACCAGTGCTCAGTGATGCCAGATCCACCAGGCACCCGGGGTGGGAAGCAAACAGGAGGAACATGAGGACACACACAGGGGGCACAAGCCCAGCCGGCTCCACTGAGCATTTTTCCATGGCTGTGGCACCAGGGACAGCAGAAACAAGAGAGCCCAGAGGTCTGTTCTCCACCGCTGATGGTCCGAGGAAACACCCCAGGGGTGTTCTCCCCATTACCTTGTGCCCGAGGCCTGGTGACCGTGAGCCACGCAGACTGGTTGGCCTCGCCAATATAATTGGAAACCTTACAAACATACTCCCCGCTCTCCGCCTCTGTCACATTATACAGGGTCAGCACCTCCGCATCAGAGCTATTAATCCCCGAGTGCTGGAACAGACCAACAACATGGAATCACATTGACGCTGCGAGCAGCGGCAGCGGGGAAGGGATGGGGATGGAACACGGGATGCAGGAGGAGACGCGGGGCCGTGACCATCCCGCTCCACATCTGGGGATGCTGGTGTGCGCGCTGCGAGCATCACTGCTGCGGTGCAGAGGGAGCTGCTCTCATCGGGATGGAGCAAGGGCTCAGCTCCCTGCATCCAGCCCCATGCATTGCCCAGGGTCACCCCCCCAACCCAATGGCAGCACAGAGCTTGGTGGTGGCTCTGGTGCTCCTGCTGCCCAACGGTGGTACCCAAGCATCCCACAGGGCCGGCGGGGATGCGGGATGGAGCATCCCGGCGTGCAGCTTTACCTTCAGGATCTGGACATAGGGCAGGTTGTCGGGACCAATCTTGCTGCCGTTGACCTCGATGTGCTTCAGCCACTGGATGTGGGGCTGGGGATCGCTGTAGACCTTGCAGACAAACTCCACGTTGCTGCCCAGGGCCACTGTCTTGTTGGCAGGCAGCCCTGCCTGCAGGATGGGCCGGTGCGGGGACCGCTCTGCGGGATGCAGGGCCATGGGGCACCTCAGGATGGGGCTCGGGATGCTCGACCACCCCCTCACCGTGCTATGGGGAACCCCAGCTATGGGATAGGTGAAATCCCAGTGCGGGGACAGGCTTGTACCTATTTTAGGGGAGGGGTGAGAGGTCAAACAAACCTAAGGAGGGCCCCGGCTGTTAACAAAGGGGCTGCCACTGTGGTGAGTCAGCATTAACAAACCCCTTTGTTCACGTCGCTGGCTGTTCCCTTCAGTTTGCTCAGTGTAATCAAATTAAATCACATTTTGAATGGTTCATTTACTGGCATTTAGAGCAGCTCCACATGTGGAACTGCTCAGAGCAGCCTTCCCAGCTGGGAATTATGGCTAATAAGGCGATTAGGACAAGTTTCTGTCTGGTCTATGGAATTATTTCCACCACAATTAAAAAAACCCCCAGATTGAACCTCGCCATCCCCATCCCTGCAGCACCCGCATCCGCTGGGAATGGTGGGGTAGAGGGGACCACGTGCTCCTCACCCACGACATCCAGCTGGTACGTGTGGTTGATGCTCCCGTATTTGTTCTCCACAATGCACGTGTAGTTGCCTTTATCGGACGGCACCACCGAGTCCATGATGATGCTCCAGGTCGCGTAGCGGACCTGGGGATACAGGGATTGGCCACAGGTCACATCCGAAGCTGCAGCATACAAGTCCTCATCCCCATCCATGCCAAAGCATGGGCAAGACATAAATCTCCCTTTGAGGTCACCTTTCCCCTTTCCTATAGGGACCGTAATCACTCCCAGCTGTCCCAGGACAGCCTGGCCATGGAGCCAACTGCACAGGGAGCAGATGTTGGGATCGGAGCGTGATGGGCACAGGGGCATCCCTTTGGAGCGCTCCAGTGCATGGAGGGAACAGACCTGCATTGTCTGTTCCCACCGTGCTTCCCGGCTGGATCCGGGCTCAGATCCGTGCTGCTCCCCATCGCCAGCCCTGGGATGCTCACTGTGATCAAGCACATTCCCTTTGGGATGGATCCCAGCGGCTTGGCTGTGGGTGCTCCCTGGGTCCCTCTATGGGCATAGGGATGGTTTTCCTGCTCCCTGCAGCTGCATTCTTTGCTCCCAGCTGGAATCTGGTTGTTTCCACATTTCAGCCCCATTAGCTATCCAGGGCACTGCTGTCACCATACAGGGAGCCGTGGTGCTGCCAGCAGCCCCGCTGTGAGCCCATGGCCCTCCCTGGGATGTGCTGCATGGAGCTGTGACGTGGCCACATTCCTGCTGCGTATCCCTGGCACGGGAGCCCTGGGCAGGAATGTGGGGTGGAGAAAGGGGATGTGCTCCCTTGTGGGGTCATTAGAGGGGGTTCTCTGGGATAGAGCTGCAGCCCTAGGTGATGGCACGGACACGGACACCTCACAGTGGACCGGGATGCTCCAAGCCCCATCCATGGGATGCTGCCGGTACCTTGTACCCGCCGATGCGGTGGTCGGGTTTGAACTCTTTGCCGTTCTTCAGCCAGCGCAGCGTGGGGTTTGGGGTCCCGCTCGATGGACACTTGAACTTCACCGTCTTGGCAGCGGGGACGGCGTGGAGCTTCTTCTCCATCTTCTCGGGGTAGGTCCAATAGGGAGCAATGGCCTCTGGGGAGCAGAGCAGGGGGGCTCAGCGCCCATTGATACCCACAGGGAGCTCTGGGGTTCTGCTCATGGTTTAATGGTAAGAGTCACAGAGCCCTTTCTTTGCGAGCTGCATGCTCAGCACGCATGGCTGCAGCAGTGGTTATGCAATACCCCTGCCTGCACATCCCCAGGATGCTTTCCCCACCACTGGGTGCCCTGTGCTGCATCCCCCCCGCTGCATCCTCCATCCCTCAGGGATGCTTTCAACTGTGCCCAGCTTCCCCTTTCCCCCCCCCACCAATGCAGCTCCAGGGGCAAACCCATCCCACACGTACGGTTCGGCTTGGTGTTATCCGCCTCCTTCTCCTCCGAAGAGGAATCATCTTCATCATCATCATCCTCCGCGGAGGGGAGCGCGTCTGCAAGAGAAGAGATGCTCGGCTGAGCACCCGTGCATGGACCATTCCCGAGCGGGGCCGGAGCATCGTGGCGCAGTGATGCAGGATGCTGCAGGGCTCAGCAGGGATGTGCAGGGATCGCACTGTGCACGTCACCAGCACCCACAGCCCCACAACCCCTTTGCCCCGGAGGTGATTTCAGAGCTCCACAGTGCGCCCAAGCACAGCTCCTTGCCCCATGGGGGACAGCAGCCGAGCCCCTTTGTGCACAGAGCAAGCCTCGGCGCACACCTCCTGCTCCATCAGCACCAACACAGACCTCAGCCCCATGCAGAATTCCACTCAACAACCTCCAGTGCTTCTCCCTGTGCCGCAGCAGATGGAGAGGGGGGGGTCACCAATGTCTCCTCCAGACACCCCAAATCCACCCTAACTCACTGTGCAGATCCATTTGACCGGTGCATGCAAAGGATGCGCGGATGCAGCCTGGCCCTGGGGCTGCCCCTTTCCCTACGGCTCCAGGGCCGCTACGAACCTGAGACATTGACGGAGAAGAAGGTGGTGTCGCTTCCCGAGGGGCTGTTGGTCATGCAGGCATAGAGCCCCGAGTCCTCGGGCACCGCATCCCTGACCTCTACCTCCTCGCCGGTGATGCGGGTCCGGTTGTTCTCGCTGAGCTGGATGCCGTCGCGCACCCAGTTGATGCTCTGGACGTCATCCCGCAGCTGGCAGCGCAGCTGGAGGAGGTCGCCGGGATGCGCGGAGTAGGATTCCACTTCGATTTTGGCTTTGGGCAGAGCTGGAGGCGTTAGGAGAGAGAAAGGAGAGAGAAGAAAAGGAGAAAGGAGATAGAGACCAAAGGAAACCATGCTGCTGTTAAGGAGGCAACATGCGCTGCTGGGGGGATGCTCCGGTGATGGCAGCGGCTGCAGAGCGGAGGGGATGGGAGGCAGTGCCTGCTTCACCCCACACGGGACCCATTTGGGTGCTGGGCAGATCTAAAGCACCCCCATACCCCTAGGTCTCGTAAGCACATAAGCATGGTCACAGCAAGGGGGCACCTCAAGCTGCTTGGGCAGGACCAGCCTCTCCCAGGAGCATCCCAAATCCCTGCTCGGCTCTGCCACTGTGTAGAGAGCCCAGGACCCTCAGCACCAGGAGCGAAGCAGGCCAGGGTCCCCATGCCACCACCAGGACCCAGGCTGAGGGTATTAGAGCAGGGGCTGCGGCAGCACAGAGGGCAGGGAGCGAGAGCAGGGGAACAGATGCCGGGCCCAGCGTTCCCAAGGCCGGGAATGCCGCAGCTGCTCCCAACGGGACACGTGTGAGCAGCACAAAGATCCTTTCTCTCCATCCCGCTGCTGCCTCCTCTCATCTCCTGACCCTCCCTGTGCAGACGTCGGCTCTGTCCTCAAGCGCTGCCCTTCCACCCTCCACGGTGGTGCCTGAGCTGCTCTCCCCATCCCAGCCTTGGTCCAGGTTTCCAGCCATCAACTCCAGTTCCATCTGGGAGAGGAAGGGTTTGGGCTGTTGCAGCTCCACAGGCGCGGGGGGGGCTCCATGTGATGCGGTGTGAGCATCATCCTGGGATGATGCGCTTGGCTCCATGTCCGGAGTGCTGTGGCTTCAGGATGGTGGTAGGGAGCAGGCGGCCAGTCGGGACACAGGGACATGGATGAAGCTCTCCACAGATCCAACCAGAAGGATCCCGAGCAGAGGCTGGAAAATCCCAGCCAACCCTTGGAAACAGCTTGGCAAGGCTCAGTCTTCAGCTGATGGGTGTCTCGAGGGGTGCTCAGTGTGCACCAGCGTTGCATCCATGGGGGACAGCGCAAAGCCACAGCTTCCCCTTGGGAACCAGCATCCCAGTGCACACCGGGTGCAGAACTAACCCATGGCATCACCCTCACCCCTTGGTGCCCACTGAGGGGCACAAGCACAACCTCTTCTCCTCCCTGGTGCACCCCTGGGCACCGCATCCTGCATCAGACATCCCTGGATGCAGGCAGGGGATGCAGGCAGGGGATGGAGTGCTCTGCTCCTCCCAGCAGCTCCCTGCTGCCAAAGCCAAAAGCCGAGCTCTCCACTGTGACCTGTGCTTTGCTTTCTGGCCCCTTCTTGTTTCCTTGCACTCGTGAGCAGTTTCATGGGGAAAACATCCACAATTCCTCCTTTTCCTCTTGCTCAGCACTGCAAGGAGGGATTCACTTTCCTCTGTTGCTACAGGGCTCCAGATCCATCAGGAAGAGGTTCCAAAGTGTTTCAACACAGATGAAGCCTGATGGGAGTCCCTTCAGTGCAGGGGGAAGGGGCTGGCTTTGCAGTGCTGTTTGCCCCCGTTGCCTGGTGCTTGCAGTCGCTGTGATTCCTGTTGCAATGAGTCACAGGCATCCTCCAGCACACACAGTGCCCCATGGCCACCGGCCCCAGCATCACGGGACCCGGTCCTCAGCGTCCTCCTGCCCGTTCCCCATCCCCTTCTCAAGCACAGCAAGGTCAGCGAGCGATAAAAGAGCCATGAGAAGCCAAACCAACCCGAAACGTGGAGCCGCAGCCGCTGCCTTATCTGCCCCTTATCACGCTGCCTCCGTTCCCTCTGCGCCCGGCTCTGCCCTTCCCACACACCGGCGCATTCCTTATGGAGCACAACAACCTCCACAAGGGCCGTCCCTAAGCACAAATGCTTGTCCCCAGCCACCAGCATGTGAGGAGCCATGCACAGATCCAGGCACCCATCACCATGGTGGACCCGCACGGTCCCACCAGCACCAACTGAACTCACACCATGCCCGCATCCCAAAACACTGCTGGGAGGTACAAAGGGAGGGAAAACCTCATCCCACCCCAATCCAATGCCAGGGAGGCAGCGCCATAGCTCAAACAAGCCCCTTCCCATGGGCACGGCATCCCATAGGACCCCATGCAAGTGCCACCAACCCCTGCCAGATCCCCTTTCAAAGGCAGCAGCCTCTTCCCCCCAGCCACATCAGGGGCTGTTTTGCATTAACAGCATGACCGGGGCTGTGATGGACGGGAGAGGGGAGGCAGAGGGCAGGATCCTGCCCTTTGGTCACCCAGGGCCCATCTCTGGCACCATGGGATGAGGCGGAAAACACCACGGTGGGAATGGCCCCATAAGGAATTCACAGCCTAAGGAGCGTGTCCTGGTTAACTCACCCAGCCAGCACAGGCTTGGATGGGGCCGTGGCAACGGGCTGGCACATGCATCCCATTGGAATCACAGCATCCGGAGCAGCACAGCCCTGGGATACCCTTACAGCTGGGTACCAGCTCCATGCACCTTCGTTAGGGTGAGCCCATTGGATCGCTGGGCTCCATCAGCCTGAAGCATCCAGGGTAGGCAGAGCCTTGGGTGGCAGTGTGCGGTGTCCCTGCCCATGGAACTGGATGATCCTAAGGCCCTTTCCAACCCAAATCATTCCATTATTAACTCTTCCTCGTGTTCTGCTCCTCTGTAACCCAAACCATGGCCCAGGCACAGCCCCTGAGAGCAAGCAGGGCAACAGGGAGGACTTTGGTGCACACCCGCACCAAAGGGAGCAGCAAAACACACGTTAGAACTGCACTATCTGCTGTTGGCTCCTGTTTAACTTAACCCCTTTGGGATGGGGATAGCGCCAGCTTCCCAGCCTGGATCCCATCCCATCCCAGTGCAGTTTGCAGCCCAGAAAAGCACCATCCAGAGCAGCCCGTGCTGGTTTTACGACCTTATCCCAGCTTTGAAATGGAACCGAGAGCGGAGCCGAGCCTGGCGAGCGCCGGCCAGATGGGAAGCATCACCGAGCACCTATAACTGTCACCGAGCGGTCCCCGATGGGGATAATGGGATGGGGATAACGGGATGGGGATAACGGGATGGGATAACGGGATGGGGACAGCCCTGGGGAAGGGAGGGCACTGATTCACCTTCCCCCCCATCCCCGGTGCCCCCCATCCCATGCACACCCAGCCCAGCCTGCTGCCGGCGATGCCAATGCCGATGGGGATGGCAATAAAGCAGCCAACAAAGCGGTGCAGGGACAATGCGGGCGGGGGGCGAGGGGCCGCCGGTTGCCCTGGAGACCCCAGCGGGGCTTTCCAAAGGTATTTCCTGAGGAGAAAGCACACACATGCCCGGCAGCCCCGCTAATCCCAACAGGAAGCGCTTTACCGGGATGTGGGGATTGGTTTCTTTCTTATTTAAAATGGTCTTCACTCCCCCTCAACCCCAGCCCCAGGCTGCAATGGAAGGGGATGCCCCCAGCAGCATCCCTGCATGATGCACATCCCTGTTCCCCTTCCATAGGATGGGAGCTGCAGAAGCAAGCATCAAGGGGGATGCCCCAGCAGCATCCCTGCATCCCGGGGTGATGCACATCCCTGTTCCCCTTCCATAGGATGCAGGAGCCACAGAAGCAAGCATCAAGGGGGATGTCCCCAGCAGCATCCCTGCATCCCAGGGTGATGCACATCCCTGTTCCCCTTCCATAGGATGCAGGAGCCACAGAAGCAAGCATCAAGGGGGATGCCCCCAGCAGCATCCCTGCATCCCAGGGTGATGCACATCCCTGTTCCCCTTCCATAGGATGCGGGAGCTGCAGAAGCAAGCATCAAGGGGGATGCCCCCAGCAGCATCCCTGCATCCTGGGGTGATGCACATCCCTGTTCCCCTTCCATAGGATGTGGGAGCTGCAGAAGCAAGCATCACGGGGGATGCCCCCAGCAGCATCCCTGCATCCCAGGGTGATGCACATCCCTGTTCCCCTTCCATAGGATGCGGGAGCCACAGAAGCAAGCATCAAGGGGGATGCCCCCAGCAGCATCCCTGCATCCCAGGGTGATGCACATCCCTGGCTCCCCTTCCATGTGATGGAAGCTCAAGGCACCACCAGCTCTTCCTAATGAAGCTATATTGGGGTGTCAAGGCAGGTTATCCCACCCTGTGGTCCCCGGATGCAGGGAGATGGGCACTGATGCACTGCTCCATGCATCCCGCTCTTCCCAGCCTGTGCCAAAGGAAGCAGCACTTCATTAACAGCCCTGTTGGTCCTTTGCAAAGCTGTCAGCACAAACCCACCCCTTTCCCCCTTGGGGCAGCCACAATCAATGCTCTGCATCACTCAAAGCACTGGGCACAAGCACTCGCCCATCGGCTCCCCTCAGGCCTGGGATACCCCAGGTGGGTCCTGCCCATCCTGGGGGGCACAGTGAAAACACCCCCATCACACACGTGCCAATGGCTTTTGGCCTCCCTGCGGTGCCCCACACATGGGGGGCTCAACAGGCAGCCCCCAGCCCCACAGACACCCCTCATGGGGCAGCTCCAAAGCACTGCTGCTGATCCCAAAGACTCCGGTTTCCTTTTTTCCTCCTCAATTAAGGGCTGAAGTGGCAGCATCCCAGTGGAAAAGCGGGATGTGGGAACAGTGCCCACTCAACAGGCTGGGAGGGGAAGGGCAGCAGCGCCATGGCCCAGAGGACACGGAGATGCCCCTGCAATTGGGGTCTGGGGATGGTGGTGTCCCCCCACCACGCTCCAGTAACAACCCTGGGCTGCTGCCATCAAGTGGCTTCATGGCTGTGTGATGGGCTCCAAACCTGATCCCTTGGGAATGCATTGGGAGACACTAGAGGGAAAAGAAGTGGGATGGAGAGCATGGAAATGGGGAGCAAGGGAACAAAACCCACCTGGGGACAAGCTGAGCCCCTCGCTTTGCCACCTCCAGGGATGCTCTGTCCATAGCTGGACCAAAGAACCCCAAACCAATTTGGGGCTGGGGTGCAGGTTACGGTGCCCCCCCCACCTCCAGCTCCCCATAGAAACCTTCTTTGCACCCGCAGGCAGGGATGGGGCAGCCCCATAGCATGGAAATGCCAGAGCAGCAGCAGCAGCAGCAGGGAGGACAATAGCAGACAGGGAGAGAGGAACAAAATCCCCTCGGCAATTTGGTGCAGGTTTCTATTTAACCTGGAGACAAAGAGGGGCTTTGTGAGGAGGGCGTGGGAGGCCGCGCATGGAAACTTCTTGCCTTTCCCCCCCCATCCTGGGTTTTTTACCACCTCCAGGTTTAGGTGTGCATAAACCACAGCGAGTGCCCCAAATGGGTGATTTGCTGCGGGGTTTTGCACTGATCCCCAAATCCATGAGGAGAGGGAGAAGGGGGGGGAGCCAGGATGGAGAATCCGGGCTCCAGGATTCCCGGCTCCTCAGGACCCGTACGCATCCAGGATAAAGCAGCAGCGCGCGGATGCTCATGGACCGGTGATGATGGACGCGATGCCCCACTCGCACCCCATGGGACCCCCATCTATGGGGCTGGATCTGGCAGCGAGCTGCAAGGTGCCGGCTGTGGATCCTGGCTCCAGAGCGGCTCTTCCCATCCCGCAGGTCCTGCTGGGAACATTGTGTTCCCAGCAGCCGGCCCCGGAGCCAAGGGCCGGACTCTGCCCCAGCCGGGCTCCTGCTGTGGCACTAATTGGGCCGCCCTGCTGGGAACCGTGTCGGGAATGGTTTCCAGAGGTTATTGTTAGCCCTGGCATGAGGCTGGCAAGGAACCAGCTCCCTCCTCTCCAACCTTCATCATGCTGCTTCCAAAGTGCTCCGAGGGGGGGGTGCAGGGCTTCGGTGCACCCCAAACCCCACCTAACAGCGTTCCCAATGCCATGGTCAACGGTGCCAGCGCCTTAACCACAAACCCCACCAGGAAACCTCTTCCAGGAAGAGCAATCTCCCGAGGAAAACATGTTTACCGCCGTCAACCGCGCTGTTGACACAAGCGGGGAGCGAGCGTGCCAATGGAAAACTCTTGGAGATGGTCCCCGCGAGCAGGGATGCTCTGCCAAGGCTCCGGATGGATCCGTGACCAAGGGAGCTGTGCTCAGAGCAGAGCCACCGACCCAGCCATCGTGGCCCTATTCTGCTGATGCCCATGGGGCTCCTACCCCATCCCAAGCCGTGATCCGTGAAGGGGTTGCTCCTCAGCAACCAGCCTCTGGGGTTTGATGGGGGGACAAGGGGGAGCGAGCCTTAGGAAGCAAAGCAGTCCCCATAGACCAGGCATTCCTGGGTAATTAAAACCAAAAGGCAGGGAATCAGGAGCTCTGCTTCTTCTCTGCCTCACCAAGGGGAAGGACCAAAGGCTTTGAACCGCTGGAGATCCCCCCCAGAGCCCATCCACAGCCCCTCAATGAGGGGATGCCCTCGCTTGGGGATGTGCTCTTCATCTCCAGCCCAGTGATGCTCTGCAGCAGTGCAGAGGCTGCAGGGACCACCTGCACCACCCCCATAGGAACCCATTCTCCAGGCAGGAGCAATCCCAAGGGTCTCCATGGGATGCGTTCATCCATGTGCTGGTACCCTGCTCCCACATCCTCATCCCCACCAGGATCATCAAGCACAAGGTTTCACACGCATCACAGCGCTGTGACAGAGCCCCCCAGGGCCCCACATCCAAACCAACACCACCAGGATTTGCCACTATCTCCAGGTTTAAAACATCCATAGGGAATTGTGCGCACCTCCCTGTGCCCAACCAAATGGGATAACGTGTGTCACATCCCTGCTGACAGCCATGTGGCACCATGCTGAGCCCTGTGGTGGCACCTCACACCAGCCTCTGCCTCTTCCACATGGGAGCCTGGCTATCTTATTGCCAAGGGAGGAATGCAAGGGATAAAGGAGCAGATGGTCCCATCTGGCATGGCCATGGTGGGTTGGTTGGATGCAATGGGTTGTTGGATGCAATGGGTTGGTTGGATGCAATGGGTTGGTTGGATGCAATGGGTTGGTTGGATGCAATGGGTTGGATGCCCATGGTGCACTGGGTGCCCATGATGGGTTGGATTGCCCATGGTGCATTGGATACCTGTGGTGGGTTAGATGCCCACAGTGGGTCGGGTGCCCATGGTGGGCTGGGTGGCCACGATGGGTTTGGTGCCCATGGTGGATTGGTTGCCCATGGTACATTGAATGCCCATGGTGCACTGGATGCCCATGGTAGGGTTGGATGCCCCTGGTGCATTGGATGCCCATGGTGCATTGGATGCCTATGATGGGTTGGATGCCCCTGGTGCATTGGATGCCCATGATGGGTTGGATGTCCATGGTGCATTGGATGCCTATGATGGGTTTGGTGCCCATGGTGGGTTGGATGCCCCTGGTGCATTGGATGCCCCTGGTGCATTGGATGCCCATGATGGGTTGGATGCCCCTGGTGCATTGGATGCCCATGCTGGGTTGGATGTCCATGGTGCATTGGATGCCCCTAGTGCATTGGATGCCCCTGGTGCACTGGATGCCCATGGTGCATTGGATGCCCATGATGGGTTGGATGCCCATGATGGGTTGGATGCCCATGATGGGTTGGATGCCCCTGGTGCACTGGATGCCCCTGGTGCATTGGATGCCCACGGTGCATTGGATGCCCATGATGGGTTGGATGCCCCTGGTGCATTGGATGCCCCTGGTGCATTGGATGCCCACGGTGCACTGGATGCCCCTGGTGCACTGGATGCCCATGCTGGGTTGTTTTGCCCATCTTACCTTGCTCGGGCAGGGTCGGCGCCGGCCTGGCAGCTGAGAGCGCGGCTGTGACCAGCACAGCCCAAAGGATGAGGCACCTCCAGGTAAACATCCCACTGCTGCGGCTACTGCTCGGCGACTGGGCTCCACAACAACCACTCCATGGGGACCCCGGGCTGGCCCCTCCGAGCTGTGGATGAGGAGAGCAGAGTGAGGGCAGGGTGAGAGGCAGCCCCGCATCCCCCCCTGCAGCTCCCCATTGCCGGTGATGCTGTGGAGCATCCATCCCGGACAGCGGGATGTCCCCATGGAGCATCCCCAGCATGGAGAGACCCAGGTTATATCCTCCTGAATGTGATGTGTTGAGAACAAAGGTGCTGGTGAAGCACTGGGGGACCTTCCCAGAATAGTGGGGGTCATTTTCCAGTTGAGGAAAAGGAGGTTTCTGCTCCCCAATTCCTGCACTTGTTTGTGCCAAGAAGAGGAATTCCCACATCGATCAAAATGACGCAAAGGCTTTGACCCAGGACCAGCTTCCAGAAATGTCTCCATTTAATCATGCTCAGATGGAAAATGCTCTCAAATCTCAACAGGTTTTGGATAGGAGAAACATTCCTATGGGGAATGGCCACTTCCCCCCTGCACAGGCAGACCCTGGCCTCTGCCCCTTGCTTCCACATCAGTCCCAGACGACCCAGGACCAGCAGCACCACGCTCCGACCCAAGGCTTCCCTATGGCAAATCCCACATATCCACACCAAAACCTGTCCGTATCCATGCCACAGACGGACACAGATCCCACTGCCAACCCCGGTGCCCTCCATAGGACCTCTAGGGCATTCCCTATGGAAGCACTTCCCGGAGCTGAAGGGGTTACCAGCGCTCGCCTCCGCACGCAGATCTCCTTCCACCAACAGCTGTGTTCCCAGTGTTTGGGGAGCAATCCCAGCTTCCAGGGCCAGCGCTGCAGCTCGCTCCCATCCCTGCCAGCATCCCCTTGGTCCCCATCCCTGCTGCGGGCACGGAGGCATCCGAGCCAGGATCAGGCGCAGGGAGCCCAATCCCGGCTATAGGGATGTGCCCTCCATGGCCTTCATCCCCCCCACTTCCCACCACGCCAGGAGCATGGAGCTCTGCCAGAACACATCCAAGGGGGAGCCAAAGCCAATGCCGGCTCTGGCCAACTGCTTCCAGCAGCACGGAGCCGTGGTCCACCCCCAACACATCTGTGGATGCGGGAGCTTGGGATGGAGATCCCGGTGTTCCTGCTCCCGCTGGGCTTTTGCTGGTAAGATCCCTGCCCAGCTCATTGCACAACCCAAGGCCAGGGTGCTGCTGGTGGTGGATGCTCCAGGACACAACATGAGGGTGTGGATGGGATGATGCCATCCCAAAGCCCTCTCTGGACACAGAGGCACAACCCTGCAGCCAGCTCCGAGCATCCCAAGCTCACCCGGTCCCTGTCCCATCCGCCTCATGCTCCCATTCCCAACCTGTTGTGGGAAGCTGTCGGAAGCAGGGGCTGTGCAAACAGTGAGTAACAATGGCAGTGAGTAATGAGCCACTACTCATCCTCCCCACGCACAGAGCTGCAGCCACCACCTCTCCTGCTCCCCCTGCACTCCCCTTTTCCCCGTGGATCACAGAGGGGTTGGAAGGGACCTTAAAGCTCATCCCGTTCCAACCAACACCTTCCACTAGAGCAGGGTGCTCCAAGCCCCATCCAACACTGCCAGGGATGGGGCGGCCACAGCTCCCATTTAACATCGGATGCTCCCCAGGAAACCCAATTGGGGGGCTCCGGCCACCTCCTCCCTGCCCCAAACCCCGCGGCTGGAGAAGCATTGACACAAGCAATGAGACAGGGGAAAAGCAGCACGCAACAAACTCCAAGAGTTATGGGATGGGACTGGTTTATGAGGGATAGGAAGGGGGAGGTGGAATTCTTCAAGGTATGGAGGGGGGATATAACAAGAAATAGGCTTTGGTATTTGTGGCAATCACATCCTGCCTCTGCGTGGTTGTGTCCATCCACAGCACACGCTCCCCGGAACATGCCCTAATGCGGCGCGTCTGCGTGGGCCTCCGAGGGGAGGGATGCAGGGATGGAAGGAGCCCAGCGCCTCCAGAAGCAGCAGTTCCTGACCAATGAGTCAGTGCTGGCTCAGTGCACGGCAAAGCCCTTCTGCAGATCCCAGCTCGGAGCGGGCGCCTTCCAGCTGATTCAGGGGCTCGACAGCAGGATATTTCCATGGCGTATGGATCATTGGCAGCAAGGAGCTGCCCCGTGGCTGGGAGAGTCACTGGGAAGGAGGGAGGGAGAGCCAAGACCCAGCGGCACCGCTTGACTGATGCTCAGCTTCCCAAGGCAGAAGGAGGCGGTTATGGCTTTGACAGCGGGGATGCATCCTGCTCACCAAGCACCCACGGACATAGAATGGTTTGGGTTGGAAAGGACCTTAAGCTCATCCATGTCCAACCCCTGCCATGGGCAGGGATACCTCACACTAGGCCGTGTCACCCAACCTGGCCTTGACATCGCGATATCCCAGATGCAGAAGGGAAGGGGCAGCACAGACCTTTCCCTCTTTCCAAAGGGATAATAGAGCCCTCTTGACCCATGGCAAGCAGGGAGAGCGTTCCTACCTGCACCAACCCCAGCGTGCCTCATACAACCTTTATATAGACCCCAACAGGAAACCATGTCCTGGGGAGGATGGAGGCAGCTGGCTCAGGGTGGATCCCCAGCTCCATCCCTGCTGCACACTGCAATTTACTGCTCCGGGGTGGATTCAAACAACTAAAAATGGAAGCAGCAAAAGAGGGAAAAGTGCCCATTGGAGACCTGCATCCCAGGCAGCAATTACACCCACAGAGCCATTCCGGAGCGTGGTGATGGGTGCTGGTGATGGGCATCCCTGAGGCTGTGAGGGAAGATGCTCCCCTGTGTGCTGAGGAGCAGTCCCATGCAACCTGTGCCCTGTATCCCTAGGGACCTTGTGGCTGTGCTCTGCTCTCTCCCATGCTGTGAGTCATGGGGCTGAGCTGTCCCAGGGATGTGCCACAAAACGGGACCTTTCTGGGACCTTCCACACTCGGCTTGTGCCGAAGGTTTCTGCGCTGAGTGGAGTGGGGAAGCCCCTTCCCATCGCATGGCTCATCCCTGGGAATGCTCTCGCTGTGCCAAGATGCTTGGTTGAGGCATCCCGGGATCAGAGCCCGGCATCGGGATGGGGCTTCCCGTGATGTCTGTGATGGGGGGGAGATGCTGGTGGTTGGAATGGAGGGGCTGGGAGCATCCCCACATCAGAGCAGGAGGCAGGAAAACACCAGGGCAAGGCCAAATCCAAGCGGGAGACCCATGCCTGGCACTGATGGAGATGGAGACCCAGTTTCTCCCTATGGCTCCATGCAGGCAGGCTCCAAGCGCCCTTCCTTGGGGAAGGAGGGCATTCCAAAGGCAAAGCTGGTTGGTGACAAGGGGAAAAGCTGCTCCCCTGCCATAGCCTCGGGTCAGGAACCGAGTATTTGCTGAACTCAAAAGCAAACACAAGTGCAAATGGAACTATAGGGAGAAACTAATGCTTAAAGCAGACGCATGCTTGGAAGAATAAATATCCAACTGTGCAGGATACATCCTGCCTTAACCCTTCCCGGCTCACAGGGGGCAGGAAGGATGGGGAAAGGTCCAGCCTCTCCCTGTACCCCAGGAAAACCAGCTCATTCCCGGAAGCATCCTCAAATTCAGGGGTCCCTACCCAAGGGCTTCGTTTTCAGGCTTAGAGCATCCATCGGTACCCAAACATCTCCACTGGGGTGGTGCTCTGGGAAAGGACTGGTTGAGGACAGGGATGCAACCACAGATGGAGAGGCTGTTTTCCAGCCTGGGAAGGACTGGATGGGGGTTCCACCCCATTCAGCTCCTCCAGGCAAGGACAAAACAGCAAACACACCTCCAAAAGGTTCACTTCCATGGCCACAAGCAGCAGGTCCCAAACAGGGGACAAAGCTGCATCACCGGGATGGGACAAGCATCCCTTCCAGCATCCAGGGCTTGGGGGCCAGAGCATCAGAAACCAGCTGGGGCTGGGGGCAACACAGCTCCTGCTGGAGTTTGTAGGCGGATAAATCCATAGGGAGCTGCAGTTTGCACCCGAAACATCCCAAGCTCCTTCCCAGTGGGAATGAATCCGGCTCCCTGCGCCCGGAGCTGCTGGATGCACTCAGGGGCTGCCCCTGCTCCTGCCGTCACCCCATCAGGGCTGGGACTATTTATCCTAATCCCTTCAGAGCAACACAAGGCAAAGGCAACCGTGCATGCCAGGCACCGCCGGGATTAGGGGAGGAAGTGCTCCTGTGTGGGGAAAATGGCTGCTGGCCAGAGCAGGGGCTGCAGCGGCCCCCGCCTCGCTCCCTATGTCCGAGACCCCCATCCCGAGCATCCCAACATCGCCATCACCCCATCAGCACCCCCTCTGCCTGCTCGCAGAACCCCCCCACACACCTCGCCCTATTGGGACCCCACAACCCCCGAGCCCGCCTTTATCACCACGGGCCGTTAAGGTTTAAACATTGATGGGGAGGAAGCTGCAGCAGCCACCCGTGACACCGGAGCCATGGGGCAGTGACCCCACTGCTCCCGCTGTACCCCCAAACACGGCCTCACGGCTCCCATGGGAAAAGCAACCAAACTCAAACCCAAACCCCCCCTCCCAACCCAAAACACCCCCCCCGGAGCCCGCCCCGACGCAGCAATGACCGGGAACGGCACACGCATTCCCGGCTGCACAGGCACAAATCAGAGCCGTTCCCAAAGACCCGCACGGAGCCGGGATAACAGCGAAAGGGGTTCGGGATAAGGGGCGGCTCTGGCAGCCCCCACCTCCCGCAGGCAGCCTGCAAACACAAAGGGAAACACCAAGTCCAGGACCGCGTTATCCCGAGCTCCTCCACCGGAACGCTCCAGGATCCCAAATCTGGAGCAAACCCAAACCCTGCTCCTTTTCCATCTCTTTCTGGAAGCCGCGAGCTTCCCGCTCGGGAACTTTTTAGGGAACAAGGAACCAGGCAGCAACCGGAGACCGGACCCCAGCCTCCAGCCGGGGCCCGGGGAGAGGGGGGAGATCGAACGAGGGACGGGCTCGGACCCGCTCCGTTCAAACCGGCCGCTCACCGAGC